CCTGACATAAAGTTGGACATGATGTTTACCTGATAGCTTGAGTTTGCCTGACATAAAGGCAGTAGCGGGTTTCAACTCTCGGTTAAACATCTGAAAAATTGTAAACTCTCAAATATACGCTGATTTGTTATTTAACAGATAGGATAGTTATCAAATATGTATGTGTAGTCAAACAAGTCTTCATTTCTCACTCATTAACTTGCAAAATCAAAATTAGGAGAAAGGAAGTTGCTAAATATAGTTCAGACTGGACAAAACACAGATTAGGTCCAAGCGCTGCGACTAGAACTCATTATAGGGATATTGCTAGGAGTAAAGCGCCAAGTAGTAAAAGAATATAAAAAGATTAGAAAAGGAGGAATAATGGGTTAAAAATGTTTAACATTCCTACCTTGAGAAAATTTTCTTTATTGACGACCACTGTGACGTCAGGTTTGTTAGTTGGAGGTCCCTGACCTATCTCTCCACTCCCGCTTGTCAGATCTACATGCCATTTACCCTCCCCCTCAACATCAAACACATACACTGCATTCACCTATATTTTAGTACAATAAACTCACAGAACAGTTTTATTATTTTTACAATGTTGATGAAAACGGTGTTTTTTTCAATCATAAAAAACTAAGGATTTTGAAATTTGTTAAATTTTGTAAAAGCATTTTTAAACATATAAAAATTACAAATGAAAAAATATTGAACTAATTTTTAGAAATTAAATGAAAAACAATCGTTTTACTTCATAGAAAGTAAGGGATATCAAGAACATCTAGTATTCATAAAACCAGGGCAAGAACATACTGTTTGATTACAAGAATATATATATATATAAATATTGTTAAATTAGCTAGTTTAGCTAATTATTACATCCGAACTTAACAACATACGTATTTTTAAAGAAACTTATAGAGCAAACCACAACTTAGTTAAATTAAGTATATTCTTATGCGGAAGTTTAACAAAAATACTTTTATCTTATAAAAATTAACTATTTCTTATTATTACCTTGGTCTTAACATATTTTAATTGAAATCTGAAAAAAAAGATTTATTATTAGAAAGATGTCAGATGAGCAGAATCCAGGGAATAAAAAAACTATAAAATGCATGAAAATATTATGTATTGGAAGAAAGCCAGGTAGCTGATAACTGATGCAGACCTAGGTTTGGTTTGGTTCAAGGCAGAAACATCTCCGAGCCTAGTAACAGAATTATAGGGCTGGGATAAGGAAAACTAGGAAAACAAACAAAGCCAAATTTCTTAGACAACCTATCGTTATTGGTTATGCTCTGCCAAAGCAGTGTAGATAAATGGATATGACATTTTGGTAGCACAACTAAGAAATTGGACTTAACTCTCTAGTAACTCTAGTCTTTGATTTATATAAAGTTTATATACCATTGCCCGCATTGGTACAACCAGAGAACCAGTCAAACTATGGTTGTACAATGCCCCTATAGTAAGACACCTGAGAAGGTGTTAGGTACTTTCTCAAGTGACTTAATTTCCCAAGAGGCAACATCCCAAAATGTACAATTTCCCAAGCGGCAACTTCCCTTCCCTAAGGTTAGGTTAGGCCCTAAAAGGCGCCGCAGACTACAATGGGGGTCCAAGAGCTGCGGCTAGGATGAGCTAGGTGACCGAGCGCCGCGGCTAGAACAGGCTGAGGGCCGAGCGCCGCGGCTAGGACAGACTTGGGAAAATACCCTTGGGAAATATCCTTTGGGAAAGTACCTAACATCTGAGAAACTGGGTTAAAAGAGAATTTGGCGCATTTTCAGTCAACTTGGAACCTTAAAGGAATTCCCACAATCCAATACCCAGGCGAGATACCCGACATTATGTTCATGAAACCAGGAATATCAAGAACATTTATATATATTATATATATATCATTGACCGGTTTTAATTGATTCTAATGAAAAACAATGTACACAGAGCTTAAAAGATCAAATAAACAGTAAAAAATAATTCTTAAAACTATAATTAAAGGAATCAATAGCTATTAGAATTTAGATCCTTACCTTTTTTACAATAGCTGGATTTGATACTTGTTTAATCCTATCGAAAACCGCTGGAATATCCGTAAAACTCGGTAAATTGCTAAGTTTTCTTAATGATTCTAAAAATAAATAATAAAAACATCGAATCTTTAACTTTTGAATCATTGGGTTTTAAATACTTAAATAAATAGCTTTTTTTACTATCATTTTTATCTCACATTAATCCACACTACGAACTTGATTAAAATCAGAAGTCCAAACTTTTAATTGGGATAGTGATAGCTCACCGACTTAACTCGATATTTAAAGTGAAAACTTTTAAATTGAAGGATTCAAGTTTTTTTCCCAGAAGTTAAGGGAAATTCACATAGAAAATTAAAAAATTATTTAAAAAAAGGAGTAAGCTATGTCCGAAAACTTAAATTGAACCGTCATTCAGTAAGGAGAAACCACAAGTGTTAAGGAGGGGAGAGGGGGGGGGGAATATAAAAATGTCATATTTAACAATTCCAGATCAAAACCAAATCAGCCCCCCCCCCTTTCAAACTAAAAGTCAGCTGTGCTACCAATGACCCATTAATAGATATCTTAAAATACCTGAAAATAGAAAACCACTTTATGTTGACGTTTTAAAACATATTAAAGAAAAAACTTTACATAACTTATGATGAAAAGAATTTTCCCGTTTCGGAGAATAACAATTTTCCAAAAAATTGCAACATTTTTAAAATTTCTAAATAAGAAAGAAAAAACTACAACAGAGATGGAATTATACAAAAGAAAATAATTTAAAATTTTATTGAATGCCCACAATTGATGAATATGTACAGCTAGTAAAATTATTTGTCCAAACCTGAACAAATCCAATAATTTACAAATTTAATAAATTATATTAATTGATTAGGTAAAACTACATTTAGAGCTCAGAAAACCTTGAGACCGATATAATGGCAACTAGATTTAGGAGTAAACGTACAGTAGACTAGCAGGTTTTGAAGTGAGTCCCAAAAAACACAAGAAATATAAGATTCTATTTGGTTTAAGACAATGTGCACAAAATTTTGTAAAACAAAAACATTATTTTTACAATTAATTCGAGGACTGCTGAAAATCACTATTGATTGAAAAATAAAAAATTATAACATTTTGCTGGAAAAATTTCCGTAACGTCCAAAAAAGTGTATTGGAGAAAACTGTATAAAGCACGTTACATTGCTGTGTCCGACATAATAGTTTGAGCGACATTAAATTGTGAAAATAAATGGCAAGCATGGTGGAAAGGGGAGTACTCAGAAATTTGTCTAGGGGGAGGGGGGCTTAAAGTTTTCCAAGGTGCGCTCAGCACCCGTTGAAACCATAAATTTTACTGATCCAAGGGGGGGGGGGGCGGGGGCTGTGCCTCCATAGCCATTCGCCCCGGCGTAAGCCTATGATGGTGAATGCTGCAAATAAACATACATTTTGATTTAACTACTACTGAATGTTACGAGATTTCATTATTCGTTCTTTTTTGTCTGTTCTGGAGAAGTTTTCCCATAGGCCGAGCTCTTGCTGATCTTGGTGATGTTGACTAACCGGTCCATTGCAAGCCAAGCAAACACAAAGAAAACAAGAACAGCAATTCTGTAATTAGACAAGATTATGATAGACCAGAACAGCAATTCTGTAAATAGACAAGATTATGATAGACAAGAACAGCAATTCTGTAAATAGACAAGATTATGATGAAATAAGAACAGCAATCCTGTAAATAGACAAGAATATAATAAAACAAGAACAGCAATTCTGTAAATAGACAAGGTTATGATAAAACAAGAACAACAATTCTGTAAATAGACAAGATTAAGATAAAACAAGAACAGCAATTCTGTAAATAGACAAGATTATGATAAAACAAGAACAGCAATTCTGTAAATAGACAAGATTATGATTAACAAAATAGCAATTCTGCAAAAAGACAAGAATATGATCAAACAAAAACAGATGTTCAGTAAATAGACAATAACAGCAATTCTGTAAATAGAGAAAAATACAAACAGATGTTCAGTAAATAGACAAGAACAGCAATTCTGTAAATAGAAAAGATTTTGGAAGCTTAAAGATCTGTAAATAGAAAATATTACAATAAAAACAAGAGTACAAGTACAGCTTTTCTTTTAACAGACAAGATTATGTTAAAACAAAGTGAAAATAGAACCGCTATTCTGTAAATAGACAAGATTAGGATAAAACAAGATTTTCTGTAAAAAAGACGCACTTTTAATCACAATTTATATAGATTAGAAAAAATATTGATGTTGCTGAATATGTTAATAAAAATACCTAGTGTAAATTGATCCTGTCCAGACCAATGCTAGAATTCCACAGTTCACAATCAGGTTTAATCCAATGCAGATTAATAAACTGCAAATTCGTCTCTAAAAATTAATTATCATAATTTTTTTATCAAAGAAGCATTAATTAATTTACTCTCCATCTTTCAAAATACTATTACTAAAAAGTAAATATTTAAAGGGACCGTTAAGGAAAAATGAAAGGGGGCTGAAACCTAAACACGTCAAGAGTTGATCGCGACCAATATGAGTTCTATCTGATGTCCCTAGTCTCGAGAAATTGATAAAAAACTGTGTCAACGTTATACCAAAACTCTTTTATATATAAGATGTGATATATAAATAAAAGTTTTAAACGGGGGCATCAGATAGAACTCATATAGGTCGCCATTAACTCCTTAAGTTTTTGGATTTCAGCCTATACCCACTCATATTTTTCCTAATAGTCCCTTTAATAGGACAGGATTGGTTCGAACAATACATCCTGATCTACACTGATATTGTCAGAAGCTGACGGCTTATCATGACTCACAGCTGGCTTTTCAAAAATCCAATTAACTCGATATTTTGTGTGAAATATTAGATATTTAATCTAACCTTTTGTTGTACTGCTTTATATTTAGGCATTCCACTTAGTTCTGAGAAGCACCCAGTTTTAGAGTAACTATCTTTTAAAGCATCCTTCTCCTAAAGAAAGTATATTAAAGCTGTTATGAAATCTCCGGGTCAAAACCTCCAAGGGGCAATGTATCGACCAAATACTGCCAAATAAAAACTTTTTGCTCTAAAAATCAAAATCTGAACTTCTGAAAAAAAGAAGATTTTAATAAATTTTCCTTGTTTCTGATTCTGGTTGGATTATCAAGTTTCAGAAAAAAACTTGGTTCTGGAGTAACCCTGACTTAGTCATACCTGGAAAAGTTTCATTAACCAGGCACTGCTCCCCTCCTCATCCTTTGGTATATCCTTGAGATCAAACTTCCTGATGTACATGTTGGCAACGGTTTCCTTCCCTCGGATAGCAGAGGTTAGGGTGGGAGGAGCCGAGTTCTCCGAACCTGCAACCAGGGTTACGTCGTAGACCGTTGATATACGTGTAGGATCCAACTGTGACACTACAAACTCAATCAGTCTTAATCTTTAAACCAACGATAAAAAGATTTATTTACAATATTTTAAGATTATTCTTTTCAAGAAGTATACTTTTATTTTTCCATGAAAATATTTTTTTCTCCCTGGATTCAACATGTGATAAGACTGTTTGCCTGTAAAAGAGAATCCTTTAGTTCTTGGTATAAGATGGTGTTGAAGCTCTGGGAGTCCCCTTGCCGCCGCAAACTTCTGGCTGGCGGCGAACTTCTCCTGACTGAACCTAGTTCCCTCAGGAAATAGAAGGATCCAGACTGGAGATGGATAATCTAGCAGCTGGTTGATCTTGTACGCTAGGTTATCCTTGTCCTTTAAATATACATTCAAACTCAATATCTTGAAGAGGCTACCATTTAAATTTGCCCGATCAATGATAAAGGCAATATCCTTCTTTTCTCTCGGAAAATTGATATTTTTCTTTTGTAGTTTATTTATAAAAGTGACATGCGGATTAATGCTAGCGAGAAAAGAAAAAGTCGGAATTCAACACGTTTTAAGACAGACAATACCTCACTATTACTCAGAGACGATTAAATGGGACTGTTCTTAAACTTGACATCTTACTCTAAAAGTGGAGGGTCACTTAAGATTACTACTCAAGTCCCTTTTAAGATTACTACTCAAGTCCCTTTTATACAATCAATTATAATCACTGATCAGAACAATAATAAATATATAAAGTTTCAACATATGTAATCATGAACTGAAAATATTAAGGGTGTTTGGACACTATTAAAGGTAACCCACTCAACTTAGAATTTTCGAACCAAATGATTCATGTTAGCCAATACAAAGTTGAGGCAAATAGATCAAGGGGTTAGAACTCATGAACCCCTTGACCGGGAAATCGGGAGAACCACTGAAATGCTCTTAGAGTGGGTCAACTTTTAAAGATAAAAATAGATAAAATCGTAATTTAGGACCAAGCGCGGGAAAACGGCGGGAATAATTATGAGAACCCTGGGCAACACTGGGCACTCCAGCTAGTACTTCATATATTAAGATATTTACCTTCTCCCAGTTTCTCTCAAGGAAAGCTACATCAGAGAAGCCCCAGGCCCAACCAATAATAGGAACATACTTCAGCATCTTCTTCACGTACACTCTACAAATATACGATCTTATGAGAAATTTAGTGCAAATCTTCAGCATCTTCTTCACGTACACTCTACAAATATACGATCTTATCATGAGAAATTTAGTGCAAATCTTCAGCATCTTCTTCACGTACACTCTACAAATATACGATCTTATCATGAGAAATTTAGTGCAAATCTTTAGCATCTTCTTCACGTACACTCTACAAATATACGATCTTATTATGAGAAATTTAGTGCAAATCGCGCCACCCATGTCGTATCTAACTCTAATGACTATACTTTAAAATGTTTATATTTTCTTTCCATACACATGGCACAAATACTGCAAGAAATCCGGTGCACATTGAGCCACTTATGTCTTTTTAACCAATCTCACCCCCAAAACTTCACGAAGCAGGCGCAGTACAAATACGATTTGGGCCTTATCAAACCCGCTTGTCGTATTTAGAGGCAAAAATAGTCGTCAGTTGTGTATAAATCAACATCATTGATATGCAGTATAATTGCTTAGTTTTTCGGTTCAGGTATTAGATTGTGTCCGTTAAAAAGAGATTTGTTTGCTTGTGTCTCGATAGACGCATTCTATCAAACTCAAACGTATTAAAGGCGTCTACAGGATTTTGTCCAGGAGGGTTTAACCTTTTTCAAAGTTTAAGGGAGAGGGGGGGGGGTCAGCATCCATAGCCCCCCCCCCCTCCCCCTCTGATGGTAGTTTGGTCCTACCTTGCATTACCCAGAAGCCTAGCACTGTCCCCCACCATCCAACCATACAACCAGTCCAGCTCATAATGATGATTCATCAGGATTATTGCATGCTCCTCACCCATTCCCTTCAATACGTCTACACCAATATTATTTTTTAACTGGGAAAATTCGGAGAAAAACAAAATGAGGGTAACAAGGAAAATTTGGAGAAAACTAAAAAATCGAAGAATAAGGAGAACATTTGGAGAAAAAACTGAAAAATCGCAGAAAATGCGAAAATGAAAGGGGGATCAGAGGTTATTAAGAAAATTCTAAGAAAAGCTGCAAAAATATTTGAGAAAAATTTGAAAATGACAAAAAACCGTTCTACTACTATGTACTAATAAAGGTAAAGATACAAACACATGCAATGACAATTTAAATATTTATTTAATTAATATTTTATTTATCAATAAAGTAATACAAAATGTGTATATTTAGAGAAAAAGGGCAACTTCAGAGGTCAACTAAATTATTTTCAGCAGAAAAAAAATATGGTTTCCAGAAAAAAAAATAAAAATCTTACGGTGCAGATCTGAAAATATAAAGAATTTCATTTATTTTACAAAATAGGTTCCAAAATAAGATTTAAAGCAATATCATAACAGGAAAACCCATACCAAAAAAACGAAAAAGGTGGAAGTTTCACATAAACAAAACAAGCAAAAACATGGCTGAGATAAGTTTATTCCCCCCCCCCAAAAAAAAAGTATTATCACAATTAAAAAATTTAGGTTAAAGGGTGTTTGAACAGTTAAAATAAAACATCATTAAAAGTACGCTGACCACCATATGAAAGTAAAACTGATGTAAAACTAATTAAACTAACAAATCTATGGTCTACGAAAAAATTTAACAGAAAAAAAATTATAATGAAGATAGCAATCAGAAGAAGGAAAACATATAAAAAATACAGAATAACAAGGTACAAAATATCACTTTTATTTCATGTTGGATAATTGGGTGTTCTACGTCAAGACGGGATAAAAACAATACTCCCCTTTGTTAGCGGCACTCCCCCATTACGCTGGAGCTGAGTATATATTAAGTTTAGCAGAACTCCACCAGTCCGCTAGTTATTGGATTACCTGGAGATGAGTATATATTAAGTTTAGCGGCACTCCACCAGTCCGCTAGTTAGTGGTTTACCTGGAGCTGATTATATATTAAGTTTAGCAGCGCGCGCTTCACCAGTCCACTAGTTAGTGGTTTACCTGGAGCTGAGTATATATTAAGTTTAGCAGCGCGCGCTTCACCAGTCCACTAGTTAGTGGTTTACGATAGAGATGAGTATATATTAAGTTTAGCAGCACTCCACCAGTCCGCTAGTTAGTAGTTAACCTGGAGCTGAGTATATATTAAGTTTAACAGCACTCCACCAGTCCGCTAGTTAGTGGTTTACCTGGGGCTGAGTATATATTAAGTTTAGCAGCGCGCGCTTCACCAGTTCACTAGTTAGTAGTTAACCTGGAGCTGAGTATATATTAAGTTTAGCGGCACTCCACCAGTCCGCTAGTTAGTGGATTACTTGGAGCTGAGTATATATTAAGTTTAGCGGCACTCCATCAGTCCGCTAGTTAGTGGTTTACCTGGAGCTGAATATATATTAAGTTTAGCGGCGGCACTCCACCAGTCCGCTAGTTAGTGGATTACTTGGAGCTGAGTATATATTAAGTTTAGCGGCACTCCACCAGTCCGCTAGTTAGTGGTTTACCTGGAGCTGAATATATATTAAGTTTAGCGGCACTCCACCAGTCCGCTAGTTAGTGGTTTACCTGGAGCTGAATATATATTCAGTTTAGCGGCACTCCACCAGTCCGCTAAGAAAAGTAGCTGAGCATATATTGTGTAGATGAGATAGTAATTCAGTGTCCTAAGTGTAAACATCATCACCACTCTAAACCAATCATATTGACGGGGGAAAATTAGTGACCAGTATTTTTGGTTTAAAAATGTAAATTTTAATGGAAAAGCTGGCTTTTCATTATGAAAATTTAAAATACGCCTCTAATAGTTTTTTTTGTGTTCAACAAATTGTGATAATCACTTTTGTTGAATCATGTAAAAACTGGTTTAAAATGTTAACATTTCCCTGAAGAGCTTCCGGTTAACTCTAGAGAGCAGAATGTAGAGAATCAACTGCAGAAGGTTGACCGTCAACCCGGACACTAAAATCAAATAAATATTATATTTAAAGGGAGAGGTGTGTTAAAAATAATACTAGGAAATTACCAAAACGAGAGTTTAAAGTTAAATATGTTTTGTCTGATTTGATTGTTATAAAGATGGTCTATTGAAGTGAAAAATAGATATGGAAAAATTTCTATAATTTCATAGAAACGATACATATTTTATAATTATAAGATATATTTACACTGAAGGCAGTATTGATGAAAGCTTTTTTAATGAAACTTTAAGTTTGCATAGGGGGCCGACCCCCTTCCTACGCCCCTGGTTATTGGTAATATATTACTTAACATTCACAATAAATTTACAAACTCTTACTTCCCTTTTTGGTAACATATTACTTAATGTCTTACCGTACTTTTTGGTAACATATTACTTAATGTCTTACCGTACTTTTTGGTAACATATTTCTTAATGTTCAATATAATGGGTTGCAAATTCTTAATTTAATTTTTAGTAACATATTGTTACTGTTCATTATAATAAATTTTACAATTTCTATATTTATTTTTAGGTAACATATTGCTTAATTTTTATTATTATACCTTATTTTTGGGTAACATATTTCTTAATGTTCATTATATTGGGTTGTGAATTCTTAATTTATTTGTGGTAACCTATTGCTTATTGTTCATTACCATAATTTAAAAAATTCTTAATTTATTTCATGGTGACATATTGCTTAATGTTTAATATTATAATTTACAAATTCTTAATTCATTTTTAATTTCCACAATTATTTTTATTAAAATTTCATCTCGTCCCTAATTTTTATTTTTTATGTTATCTCTAATTCATTAAAAATTCACGAGAGCTTTATAATTTACTTTACAACTATTCCTATTTTAATAATATTTATAGTTTATGGTTTCATTTATGATTCATTTATTTTTCTTTTTAGCTATTAATTCTATTAAAATTCCTTCTTGCCTTTTTACTTTGAAACCAGCATTAACTTCATTTTCATTAAGGATCTAATAAGCTTAATTTGTGTTAAAATTCCATCTCATCCAAAGTTTTAATTTTTGGCATTCCAAATTTATTTTTTCATTGATAATTCTTCTATTTTATGCTTTTATGAATATATTTTTTCATTTATTTTTATTTTCTAATATCAGCATTATCTTTATTTTCATTTAAAATATTACAAGCTTTAGGGTAATCAAAATTAGGTAGTTTCCATCATCATTAGAATCAATTACTAATAATCAATGTTCAGGATGGAACGGGGTATGGTGTTCAGTTAGATCATAGCAAATGAACAGAAAATGTTCGATCTGAATCTAAAATCTAAAATATTATTAGTACAAATGAACAAAAAAATGTTCAATCGAACTAATATATAAAATTTCACCAATTGCCCAGAAAATATTATTAGTACAAATGAACAAAAAAATGTTCAATCGAACTAAAATATAAAATTTCACCAATTGCCCAGAAAATATTATTAGTACAAATGAAAAAAAATGTTCAATCGAACTAAAATCTATAATTTCCCAATTGCCCATAAATTATAATTATAGTAATCAACAATATTGTAGTGCAAACAAACAAACAAAATTTTTTTGTTTGAAATGTTCATTTGCACTAACGTACAATTGGACTAATAGTTAGAGAAAAAAATTAGTCCGTTTGAATAAATTTTTTGTTAAAGATGTTCATTTGCACTTACGTTAAATTTTACTAATAATTGCAGAAAACAATTTAGTGCGTTTCAACAAATCTTTAATTAGTCTAAAATATTCCTGGCGCGAGAATAAAATAGTCCTGGCGGGAGAATAAAAATTTAGTCCAATTGAACACAGTAAAGCTCGAATTTGTCCATTTGCACTAATGTTTGATCGTACTATAAACCGGTTACTGATCAGCTGACTTTAGTGCAAAAATGTAAGTGAGTTCATTCGGGCATTAGTGCAAACGATATAGAATAAATTTTAGACATTCCCTACGTTTGGTAATCAGATAGAAAAAAAAATAATACCAATTTGTTTTTAATAAATAGTATAATACATTTATAGAAAATAATCTATTACCTAGAAAAGTGATGCAGAAAAAAAGATGCAACAACGCAAACTCTTTTATATTTCCCATTCTAACAATAATGCTGTGGATTCAAGCTATTTCACTATCAAGATATTTTCTATTTACCTTTATAATTTCAAGTGACCCTTTATTTACAACAGTACTAAATACATACAAGAGTTGTTAAAATAAAAACCACATTCCGCATTGCAAAACAAATGAAGACATCTTCATCTGGTCAATAATGTGGAAGATATCGTCACTTTTTCAGTTAGACTAGTGATTAATTATGAAAATTTCCTCCATTGTTTTAGCACCATAAATCAGAAAGTCATTTTATTTGAGAAATCAATATTAAAAATAATCAATTTTCGAAGAGAAAAATGTGAATATATTATTCCTTCTTTTTTAGACAAAGCTTGCGAATTATGCATGCCACTTAAGAAATCTAGGGTCATTAAAAAGAATGTCTACTATTTGATTTTATCACAATAAATCGTTATTTATTTATGTCTACATTCTCTTTCATAATCCTGTGAATGTTCATAAAACATTCTTGTTTTTTTTATAAGGCCGGATCCTTAGCATTCCTGGATGTAGTACACAAAGAAATAAAACTGCAGTAGTACACTGTTTAAACTCTGAATCAGCTTAGCATATTTCTGAAAAATGTAATGTTCTACAGCAAACTAAACTATTCAGTATTCATATTTCCAACTGGTGATTAATATCAGCTAATTAGCGGCAAATGGAAACTTTAAAAGCTAACCATAATATCATTTATATGTGGCTTAAATTCATTTCTATCAATTGCTAATAATTTCTATTTAAATTTATCTTTTTCAATTTGTCCTTAATTTCCTTTTTCTTATTTGCACCAAGGTAAGAAACCGAAAGAATTCCAAATTCAACATTTTTTTCATTACATTGAAACTACCCGTTCAAATACATTGTATTGTACTTAAAATCGTGTTCTTTGCATTAATTATAAAATGCTTAAGTTTCACGAAGACCCCTCTTCCTTAAATACTGAATTACTCAACACTCAAGTGATTTCTGATTAAGCAGATCGGATTGGGTCAACTGCATTGCTTGAGTTAAATGTATCTATGTAATGTATAATGTATATAATGTATGATATATGATATAGTCTATGAGAAAATTTATCCTAACGTGCATCAACCCTCAGCATTAAGAATGAAGACGGCTCTTTGTATTTCTTTCTTCTCTAATTCATCTGTATTGAGATGTATCCCTGTATCCATCTTAGGCGTGTGCTCAAACATGGCCGCGCGGTTCTGCCCGTCGTTCTTCTTCACCCAATGCCCGTAAATACGGAACGCGGCCCCATCAATAAGTCTGCGCACGGTCTTAATCCTGTACGGATCCAGCTGTGCAGTACGTAAGGATAGAGGCTGGGGAGTATTTTTGAACCGTTTTAATCTGATCAAAAACCTAAAGAACGAGCAATATTTTCGTTAATTAATAGTTTTATTAATTAGAAAAGAACTTAACTATTGCCACAACTCCTAATTCTTTGAAGCCTGATTTTACAAACTAAGGCAATTGGACCTGATGGATTTCGTAGTTCAAAATTTGTCTAGGACAGCAGATTGCGAAGATATAGGGATTAGAATATTCGAATGTTGGCTTCATTTTTCATTTGCTTTGTAAGTAAACCTTAAAATATTTCAAACTAAAAATATTGCTTAGTTCCCTGACACAAAGAATGACTCGTCGAAAATGAATTTTTGGTTTGAAAACCCGTTTAATCATCTCCTCAGAAGGAATGGAGTCTTTACGGTAGCGGAAGAATTCATGATTTAGACACTGATCAACTGTAGGACGCTGCCTACAGTCTACAACTAGTATCCGGGATATAAGATCTTTCGGAGCAAAGGTAACCTCGGTCCATTCTGTGCTTGAGAAAGAAAAGTTTGCTTCCATTATATTCCTAAATAGAAACTTTTAATATCCCCATTACAAAGCGTTAAGATATGGAGCTACGAATTTGGATAAAATCTTGGATCTAGGTTAGGTAGGAGTTTACTTGAGATACTTCAATTTTTAAATAATCTTAAATGATCAGAGGTTGGAATTAATTAATGGTGAAAAGTAGTTGAACTAAAAACGGATAGTTAAACCACTATTGGGACAGTTTGGCTGTTCCTTTCTATTAATAAAACCCGAATTCTGGAATTAGGACTGTAGAATCGAGTGAAAAAATATATTACATTGAAAAAAAAATGTGCGTGAAATGATTTAATCAAGGATATTATAAAAGTGCCTAATCATGATGAGCTGCTTTCTGTTCCAGAAAGGCGGGAACCCGACCAGGAGTGTGTACAAGATAACTCCACAAGCCCAGATATCAACCTCAAGACCGTATCCTTCACTCTCATCCCTCTCTACCATACCAGATCTATCAAATGAACCAGATCTATGAAATGAGCCAGATCTATGAGATGAACCAGATCTATGAAATGAACCATATCTATGAGATGAACCAGATCTATGAAATGAACCAGTGATTATCTAAATCATGATTTATGATTCTCAGATGGATGTATAGATGACAAATCCACAGACAAGTCTTTTTAGTAGATAGATGAAAATTCTGTTTTTGATTAAAATTTGTTTTCACCATGTATGAGCCTGCAGCATACAAAATGAGATGTCTTGCTAGCAAACATGGTTTTGCTAATTTATTTATTTAACAATAAACCAATTTTGGAGAATACATACAAAATTAATATTTTAATTTGATTATATATAGTTTGATTATGTTTATAAATTTTTTGTTTAAAGACATTGAATTTTTACTTTTAGCGACAAAAAATATTAGAGTAAAAGATTTAAAATTAAAAAAATTAATAAAGTATTAATGATACCTAAATTTTATGTAATTTTGAATGAAAAGAAGAAAATTAGAAATCTCTTTCAAACTTTAATTGAACAAAAATGCTACAAATCAATATATGGAAAATGTATAATAAAAAACACAAATATTTACAAAATGGTTCTCACATTTTATCCTCTATTTTGTGATAAACTTAAATTTAGACTAGTAACAATTATCAATTCTGAGATCTGGATTTGACATGGAATCTGATATAAAGACGTTTTAAATGTAAGACTTCTCGTCTAGAAGAAAAATGAAATGAAATGAAATTGAAAATGAGAAATCTGGGCCAAATTTTTTTTGAATGAATTAGTTTGAAAAAAATAAAAAAATACCTGAGAAGCTCTGGTGCCAGGTATCCCGGAGTTCCACAAACCTCGTAGAGTCTCTCCGTCGGAGTCAGAACTTTAGCGAATCCAAAATCTGTGAGTTTCACGTTAAAATCCTTGTCTAGTAGAATATTCTCGGGTTTTATATCCCGGTGAACTATGTTTTTAGAATGACAATACTGTACTGCAAGAAATATCTAAAATTTTGTTCAATTTTGTTCTAGTAAGAGCAAACTTGGTACAATCGGTACTTGTATACTGCGTAGCTTCCGTACGCCTGTACATGAATATACAGTACAACTACAAGATATTCAAAATCATTTTGCTTTAAGATTAAGCTGGAATTTCATTGTTTAATGGGACATAAAAATTTAAGGTAAGGTTGATAAGATAATCTGTATGCATAAACTGCAGGTTTAATTTGAGTATTCTGCACATATTTTGCCGTTAAAACTTGGAGATAATCCAATTTGAAATCTAAGCTAATTGTTGTTGCTTATTAAAATGTTATTATTATATAAATCTTGACTAGTTCTAAGCCACACAAGGAAAAATTGACAGTAAAACAAAATCATATTGTCGCATAGAGTAAATTATTTATATATCAGGAAATAGTATATGTGGTTGACGATAAAAAGACAATTTTTTAAATTTTTTAACTTGTTAAATTCTGTAAAAAGTTTAAACAGAAAAGGACATTTAAACAAACTCAAATGATGAGCGTAAACTCATATAAAGGAAAATTGCAAGCGAGGCAATTTAAATTTCTCAATATTGAGATAAAGTGTGAAAGATGCATACATATATTACGTACATTTAAATAAGACTTTTTTCTGTATCAGTGAACAACAAAAAACAACAAAATAAACAGAAAATAATATTAGGATGTTTCACCAGAAATTAATTTGCGTAAGCTCACATTGAGGAGAAATCTAAGCAAGAGGCAATTTAAATTTATGAGATCAAAATGTCAAAGATGCACACATATATTGCGTACATTCAAATAAGACTTTTTCATGTATCAGTGAAAAATAAAAGGCAACAAAATAAACAGAAAATAATATAAGGATGTTTCACCAGAAATTAATTTGCGTAAGCTCACATTGAGGAGAAATGTAAGCAAGAGGTTAAATTTATGAGATCAAAATGTGAAAGATGCACGCATATATTACGTACATTTGTCATGTATCAGTGAAAAACAGGAAAAATTCTAAGGGCGTTTCACCAGAATGAATTGAGTAGCGTAGGCTGGTATGTAAGACATATAGGAAGACCTTTAGGGGAGGAATATTATATGAGATATGAGAGGATATGAGATGCAATTTTGGACTAGTATGGATCTGAAATTCTATTAAATACTTATGACTCAGTCTCTGTACAAATAATCTCATTTTCTTTGTTTAATAAGCTCATTTTTTCCATGTTTAGATAAAAACAATTTATGTGTTTAATATAGAATAAGCGTTCTTGTATTTGATTAAAATGTTAGTGACCAGATAAATTGAACAATCCTGTCTCATAATCCGTTTTGCACGCTTTTCCGACAGAGTAACCTGAACAAGGATTATTTTGTATTTATAATCATAATTTTTAGAGTAAAGAAACTGTTGTAATAAATTAAAGTGACTCTCCATTTACCTGGATTCAGAGCGAAACACAAATTATTTTCGCTTTTGGTTTTTCTCAAAAAGGAACAGAAACCAATGAAGGAAATAGTCAAAATTAAACACTTTAAACACTAGAAAACGACTGGATCTTCAAAATTATTGTTTAGATAAAAGTTTTCAAGGGTACCGTCGTGAATATGACATTCCCTGTATAAATGAATGGTCACTTGAAATTACATTAACATTTTCTTTATAAATTCAAATATATTCGATTAATAATTGTTGTAGTTTTTATTACCTGCGAAGTTAGATAATCAAATAGTTCTCCGTTAGGACAGAGTTCGAACACCAGGAATATATATGTCGGAGACTCGAACACGTCCATCAAGTCAATAATGTTCTCGTGCCCCTGGACCATCCGGAGGATGGCCACCTCTCGGAGGATCTGCTCCCGGATATTGTATCCGTCCTCGTCCACAAAGTCCACGGAAACATCGACAATTTTAACAGCGTAATTTTCACCATTTTCCTGGTTTCAAACGTATGTTTAAAACTAATTCAGAACAAAAATTTGCAAGAAATATAAAATCGTGAAAATAAAAAATCTAGATTTGAAGTTTTTTAAAAGTTTTGCATTATAGAAATAGAAGAGCAAGCAAGGTTCTTGACAATACACCTCCCCCATCCCTCTCCCAATCAAAAATCCTGTCACAACTTGCGGTCAAATGCTCAATTTACCCTGCAGTAACGCCAGAATTACGAACGATTATCTCTGTTGGATGACCATTGACCGGAACCCAACACCTTCCCCCCTTTTACTGACCATACAGTCCAGGCGCATTAGTGTCGACACCCCCCCCCCCAACATATTTGACGGCCATCGGGTAGACGGTGAATTGATTAACCGTCCAACCATCCCCTTAAAAAGGAGAACATTCATTACTCTAATCAGTAACAAGTTGATTCTTGAGTGGACACCATTTCAGGGTTAAACCTGGGAAACATAATGTTGTACAACGCTAACTTTTACAAGCCTGACTCCATGTACGTCACCTCTGAGGATTCCTTCTATTCACCCGTGTACACGAATGTAGAAGCTGTGCATGAAGGTGGATACTCAGTATCTGAACCCAGCCAAGGATACAGCGGCACTCAAGATGGATATATCTGTGCTCCTGAAGGATACCAAACCCGTCCTACAGAATACAGCACTCCGGTATTTTGCTCTCCTGTTTCAAACTTCAACCCTACACCGTACTATAACAACAGTCCTGGATTCTGTATTGTACCTATAACAGAGGAGCAAGGATTTAAAAACACTCCGAATCAATATCAGGAAGTTCAGCATACAGATTGTGGGAGTCCGAAAACCGTGCCTAGATTTATAAACCAAGAACAGTCTTCACTCCAGGAGCAATCCTTTTTCCGGTCCCAACACCTACAGGATACCTGGAGCCCCGTCAGTCCTGGATTTAGACACAACGGTATCACGCAAAGGTTCCGTTCAAGGTTTCAAGAAGAGATCAACAGGAGCTCTTCTCCAGAGTTGAAGAACACCACAGGATCCGTCCCTTCAGTATTCTGCACCGACCAGGAGCTGGCTAACCCTATAATGGCACTAGTCTGTGACGTTATAGTGCATAACCTTCTTAGTTAGAACCCATACAAATTGTACTTCAGTGTAAATATGTTGTAAATATCATTTCTAAATAAACTTTTCACGAGCATATTTTTATCTTTTAACTGTTTGAATAAGTGTAGATGGGTTGATCTGTTATCAGTAACTACATGTGAGAAATAACTTTGTATAAATTGATGAATGATGATAAAACGAAGAACTGATAAGAAATAACAGGTTTTATTTACATTATCATGATTTCAGCTTTAACTTTTGGAATTCAGTCTTTTTATTTAATTTTGCAAAAAATGTAAAGCAAGGAAACTAAAGTTTAAACAAATCTATCCTTGAGTATGCACCTCCGAACTGTTGAGCTTGCTCCTTTGCCAAGAATCTCTTTGGGTTCGTATTTCTGATAGAATACTCTAGCAGTCTCTTGAGCAGGCAGGAACTCGGAGTCTGCAACCATCTTCTCCAGCTAACTTGACAAACATATCAATTTAAAGGCACTGCGCTTATAAGCAGGTTTTCCGTATCACAACGGTACCCGTTAATACTTTATTTCATTAAAAATAGTTGAATAAACAAGTCACGTTTTCACAGAAACCACAATTTCATCAACTAAATATTGATTAATAATTTACTTAAACGAATGTTAAAGGGTACCGCTGTGAATCGGATAAATGGAGGGTTACTATTAAGTCTTCATGGTTCCATAAGCTTTAAACCGACCTCTTGGTGTATGGATTACCGATTAAAGTTGAAGATTGTCAATTTTAAATCCTAATAAACGGGGCTTTCGTTGGACCAAACCAAACCAAACCTTTCTGAACAAATTAAAGAAAGACTACTAAAGCAGTGCAATTTAGAATTAGTCTCTCCGCTACATTATTTATAAAAACATACTAAGCAAATATGTATACTTAGCTAGTACAAATTATAAATAACTATAGATAAGGGTATTTGTTAAGAAAATAAAAATGCATAAAACTGTACTTATTCTACAAAGCTCTTAACCCTATTCCGACTTACTGGTTTACCCAAAATAGATGGGGGAGGGGGGGGGGGGAGTCACAGTGATACCTCCCCTCTATTTCCATCTTGTGATACAAATCTATATCATATGATACATGTTTGGAACGACCTTGTACTGCACTTTAATCATCTGCAAAAAATTGAAAATTTAAACAAATCAATATTTATTGCAAAATCAAGTTCTTAAGCGAACAATGTGCGCAAACATTTTTGAAAAGCCCTTGACCTAGCAAATTAAAATATAAGTATGAAAGCTCTGCTTTTTGCCTTAAGTGAGGGGCATGTATTTCTTAAAAAAGTCAAAAATTGAACAGCCTGAGACCAATACTTTTTAAATTATCGCAAAAAAACGACAGGAGGTGTTTGGGTCACAGTTGTCACTGTGACCCCCCCCCCCTCCCCTCAGTCGGAATAGGGTTAAGTTTAAGTTTATCACAACTTTCAAATATTAAATCAGGCGTAGTCAAATTAAAAATTTAAAAACGTAAATGCAGCTGTTCTGAATGTTTACTATTCCCCAGTGCCCAGATAATGTACTTAACATCTATATATTTGACCTACTAAGTGTATCAATTGTAAATCAAGTGGTTTTTTTATGAGGAGATTTATCTTTATTTAAGGCCGGCTCAGAAGTTATTGATAACATTATCACAAAGTTCCGACATGAAATATTTACTAATTTATTTGAATAGTCTGCAGTAAAATTATAACAATGTTTATTGCTTACAGGGAGGTAAAAAGCAATTTTATATAATAATCTTCAGTTTTACCATATTTTTTTAATGAGGGGGGTGGTGATAAAGCTTTCACTTCAACAGTTCTTTGCTCCTTCTTATAAAATGTCAACCCGTTCTTTATCATTAAAAAAAACAGATTAAATTAAATTTTAGTCCCTAAAATTCATACAATAATAATTTCATTATAAATTTGTTTGATAAAGGGCGTTTCAATAAACATGGAAATGATATGACAACTTTTCAACTTATTAATATGTTGGCACAAATGCCTCGTAAATTATAATATTTACATAACTACCATGTTTATTTGAACACCCTGTATCTGAAATGATGTACCTTATTTATTTGTACACCACATGCCTAGTTAAACTGGAGCTCCACATACTAATCTTTCACCAGCTCACAACATTTTATCTATGGATATCACAGTATTGTCGGAAATTTTCATATTCTACATTTTTGATAAAATAAAATCATGAAAGCACACCCAAAGTTAACACATAGCAGAGGGGTCTTTGAGAAAGGAAAAGAGTTTATTTATTTTATGTTCTTTTTTGTAAATCATTTGCCCAGGATAAATTTAAAAAAAAAGATCATTTCATCTCAATAATAACTTTTCCCCTTTATATTAGACTCCCCCATTTATTACAATTTATGCTTAAGAATAATTATTTACATTTTTATGTTCATCTAAAATCTACATTGCTTTTAGAAATATTTTTTTTGTTTTGATTTGATAATGTTATAAATTAACCAGTCAAATGGCAACAATAACTAATTATTACAATACCAAATAAACCAAATCACAGAACTTTAGATAATGGAAATTATTTTTTTTATTATAACAATTTTTCTCCAAATAGTTCAGATTTTATTCAGTTTAAACAGGTTTGGGGTATTTAAAAAAATAAAATAGCTAGCAGGATAATATAGAAAATATTACGGATTATTATAAATTACATGATAATAAGGTACACAAACTTTTGATACTTAATAAATATGAAAGGATAAAAATGTAAATTTAAATAAATATGAATAATACGGCACTTGAAATCTGACAAAACACATCACAGATCTTCCTCATTGTGATTTAAGTTCCAGGTTCCTGGCGGTTCCAGATACTTAGTTGTTGTAAGTTCCAGGCTCCAGGATCCTATATTTCCGATTCCTCAAATGTTCAGTGGTTCTGGAACCAGGTTTTAGGTTTGAGTTTCTAGATTTCTAATGGTTCCAGATTCCTCAAACGTTTAAGGGTTCCAAGTGCCAGTTTCCTAATGGCTCATTGGATCCAGAATATCAGAAGATTCTAGGTTCCAGATCATCTACTTCCAGATCTTTATCACTCCATCATTTCCAGTTGTGATGAGAAGTTTCTGTGTTGTCTGAGCAATCACCATATCTGTAATCCAATCCTGATGCTGAACATCAACCTATAGATAGATAGATTGATACAAATACTTATATCGGAGTTTAGATCTTTAACCAATTAAGTCTTAACGGGACTGTAGAATGTATTGCTATGGGACCTTCATTTTAAAGCGTTTAAAGAAAAAACAGTCATATTTCTTTTAGTTTTTTTGTTTGTCAAAGCAAAGCAGTTTACACGCGCCTCAAACTAATTACTTTATCTTTGCAACCAGATAACGATTAATCTTCTACTATTTGAAGCAGTAGAACTTAGAGTTGGAAACATCAAAGGCCTACAACATCAGGTTGCAAAGATACTTGTATAACAAATTAGAGCACATGGGAGAGTAATCAGTGTAGTTGATATGGATCACCCTGTAAACTTGCCATTTTTGTAGGTCTGTGGATCTAACAAAGTCGGAACTAAAAATAATCATTGAGAGCAGTTAAACGAAATCATTGTCTAACTACACACCTGGAGTTTTCCGTCCTCGGGTTTTCTGTGAGATCGGCCAGTTTCCTGTAGCACCTCTGTACCCTCAACCAATCTCGTTCTAAATATATCAGTTCGTCACAACTTGAGGTTTTGTTTTCAGGAAACCAAGGAGAAACTAAACCAGTTAACAATCTCGTTGTTTTTTGTTTTTCCGTCATTTATGATGTTCATACAGGGTATTCCAATACACATGAAAATTAAGTGATGACTTTTAAACCGTTTTCGATTCACGTGACAATCATGTGTAAATCTTATTTATTATTATTATTAAAGGACAACCCATCATTCAATTAAATAGTGGTCGGCGCTCCTAGCCGCCGAAACGTATCCATGGGCTAACCGAACTGGTCACCCTAGGGAGAAGACTTACACTAAAGCATTATATATTCAAAAAGAATGTTGTGTGCTTGTTTTGTACCTTCAATAATAATATATCGATTTTTTCCCAATTAAATTTGATCTCATATAATCTAATATTTTTTCTGTAATCTTAGCAAAAACAACAGAACACATTTTGGAACGCCCAGGTCTAGTAACCGCAACTTCCATGTTTCTTGGGACACCTTTTGGCTCGAGGTCAATAAAGATAAAAATATTTCTTGTTCCTCTCAGTTATCGATTTAGTGGGTAATTGATATAGAATATTTTTTTTACACATTCCATAAATTTTCTTTTTAATTATTATTCTATTTCTGAACAATATTATATTTATCCTTATACTCGTTACTTCTTTATTTCAGTGGATGTCTCGTTAGAAATTTTGACTGACGTCAATACAGACAGAAAATATTTCTAAAATAAATCTGTACAAAATCATGAACAATAAATCACTTCATGGAACTAATCAGGATGCGGTACTGTCTGTATAAAATATATATTTTTGGTATTTATTTTTAATGATGTAAAATTTTTAAACATGTAAAATATCACGTAAAATATCGAATCTATTTTAATTAATTATTAATATTAATAATTTAATGATAACAATCTAGCGAGCCTTCATTAACACTCTTTGTCTATTCTTTTTCATATTCATGAATAATGACTAATGACTAATGACTAATGACTAATGACTAATGACTAATGACTAATGACTAATAAATGATGAATAATGAATATTATACCAAATTCTTATCGGATTAACTACGTAGCCAAATCAGTAATAATTCTTATTTTTGACACCCATTTTGTGTAATTATTATGATTATTCCACGAATTAGGTGACAATAATAATAAGAATTATTCACCGGAAACTTGATAGATAGATAGATAGACCAGCTTTTTAAGTCTAGAAACTAAAACTAACGTTAATTCATTCTCGCAATCATGAAACTAACAAATTGCTTATTTTTTTTAAATAGAATTTCTTTCAACCTGAACCCTTTAAAAATTCTCATTTCTTATTCTTTTATCAGGGGCGTAGAAATAGAAAGGGGGCCAAAACGTATTCATTTAATTTTTTTTTTGTAAATATATCGCACATATTTTAAGATTTTAAAATATGATTAATGATTAATGATTAATGATTAATGATTACTCATTATTGATTTAAGAATCAGGAATCATGATAATGACAATGAAAATACTGCTAATAATGAGGATAATGATGAGATAACAATGATGATAATGAAAATGATAATAATATGATAATCTTATGAGGAAAAAAATGTAATAATGGAAATTCTTAAACGAGATGAAATAATCTTGATGTATTCTTTAACGAAGGCCGCAGGCCTTCGTTAAAGAATACATCAAGATTATTTCATCGAGTTTAAGAATTCCATTATTACATTTTTATCCTCATAAGATTATTATTATATCATATTTGTGAGGTTCCATGGGCACATACCCAAGAAATTATACTAAAAAATAATTCTGGTGAAATCCGACTATTTCAAGG